TAGCTAGACAGGTCAGAAACACTATCAAATATTTATAATTGTTAAGTTATAATAAGTTAAGATCTATTGTTAAGTCAATGATAGTCTTTTGCAATAAAAGTCTATGGGACAGTTGTTGCTAGGGTGCAGTATCTGGTAGCTAGGGTGTGGCTAGAAAGTTAAAAGCTCATCAGTTATTGGCAGTTTGGTAGTTTAAGTTAAATGAGCTCAGCCATTAGTCTGTATAACAGTCTGATGCAGAGTTATGAGCTAACAAAGTTTGATCCCATGTTAAGTCAATGAGAGTCTTTTGAATGGAAGTCTATGGGACAGTTTCTAGGGTCCAAAAGTGATTGCTAGGGTGTGGCCAGAAAGTTAAAAGCTCCTCAGTTATTGGCAGTTTGGTAGTATGAGTTAAATGATCCCAGTTAGAAGTCTGTGCGACAGTCTGATGCAGAGTTATGAGGTCACAAAGTTTGGTCCAATGTTAAGTCTATGGGATTTTTCCGACAGTCCCGGGAAGTTTTTCGGAAAATCGAAAGTCGGATCAGTCGGAAAAGATATGGCATACCGAGTCTGAATAGTTTGGAGGTCTGGTGTGAGTTTGGTGGTCATAGCTCGAAAGCTCTAGGAGGAGATAGATTTTGAATTTTAGTCTCAGAAGAAGAAGAATAATAAAAAAAATAATAAGTTTAAATAGGATTTCAGTAGTCTGGCTTGTTTCTCAAGCCAGCCTAATAAAAAAATAATAAGTTTAAATAGGATTTCAGTAGTCTGGCTTGTTTCTCAAGCCAGCCTAATAATAAGTTTAAATAGCATAACAGTAGGTTGGCTTTGACAAGCCAGCCTAACTAGAACCTAAAGTTCGTTGATGAACTTTGATGTTGGCTTGATAAAGATCACTATAGTGTAGTTAGTATTTATAGTATATATTATAATCTGAACAAAATTACATTATAATAAATATCATATGAAGAAAAATATTAAATTAAAATACTAATGAAACAATAGCACATACATTTAGTTAATTTGTCTTTTATTTAATCAGTCTTATCAGTTTTGCAGTTAATATAGAGTACAGTCAATTTACAGTAATTTGCAGCATTATATATATATATATATATATATATATATATATATATATATATATATATATATATATATATATATATAGTTATATAGTTATATATACAGTTTACAGGAAGAAAATCGTATTCAATACAATATTAGGCCGTCTTCATCACTTGGTTAATTCTGACCAATGACGTTGTTCCACCCCACTGGCCACTAACACAATGTTATAATCGTAATATTTAATTGTCATCACCTGGGTGATTTTTTTTTTTTTTGGTACAGCATAGGCCAAAAGCTTGGCTTTCATTGTCATTATCACAAGTGAGGAGAAGGCTTTTTTGCGGTACAGAATATTCTGTTTTGAAAGAAATATCTGAAGTAAACTTATGTTTTTGCCAACATAAAAGGGGGATAAAAAATAATCCTTATAACCCTAACCATAAATGTGTGTGTGTGTGTGTATGTGTATGTATATATATATATATATATATATATATATATATATATATATATATATATATATATATATATATATATATATATATATATATATATACAGTTGAAGTCAGAATTATTAACCCCCATTTGATTTTTTTTTTCCTTTTTTAATTATTTCCCAAATTATGTTTAACAGAGCAAGGAAATTTTACTGTATGTCTGATAATATTTTTTCTTCTTGAGAAAGTCTTATTTGTTTTATTTCGGCTAGAATAAAAGCAGTTATTAATTATTTAAAAACCATTTTTGGGACACAATTATTTGCCCCTTTAAGCAATTTTTTTTTTTGATAATCTACAGAACAAACCATCGTTATACAATAACTTGCCTAATTACCCTAACCTGCCTAGTTCACCTTATTTACCTAGTTAAGCCTTTAAATGTCACTTTAAGCTGTATAGAAGTGTCTTGAAAAATATCAAGTCAAACATTATTTAATGTCATCATGGCAAAGATAAAATAAATCAGTAATTAGATATAGGTTTTTAAAACTATTATGCTTAGAAATGTGCTGAAACAATCTTCCCTCCATTAAACAGAAATTGGGGAAAAAATAAACAGGGGAGCTAATAATTCAGGGGGGCTAATAATATATATATATATATATATATTCACTATTTTAAAATATTTTTTGCTGTGTGTTTTTATTGGTTATGATGCTGTTTGGATGTTTTATTTTTGCACAATATATAAAATGTGATTTAAAAAGTGCAAACATTGTCTCTGTTAGAATTTACACGTGATTACAACGGTATAAAGACGTTCAGGTCCGACCGGACCGAATGGAAAGAAATTGTAGGTTTTGAAGATGGATTATTAGTTTTGTGGCAAGGACATAGCTGTTTTTAGAGGGTTAAAATACAGGTTAAAAATAAAGTTAGAAGGATTTTATATTAAATATGTTTATTGTATAATATGCGTGAATGTTCGCATGGCTTTCATTTTCATTATCACAAGTAGAGGAGAAGGCTTTTTCACGGCACAGAATATTCTGTTTTGAAAGAAATATCTGAAGTAAAGTTATGTTTCTGCCAACATCAGAGGCATGCATTTTAAAACTCACAGGGTAGCAGACAGAAATGCATGCGGGTCGATTCCGACGCGGATGATTCTGCATCCAGATCAGTTTTATTACGCTTTATGGAATTCACCGCGAGCATAATATGAATGACTGATGACCAGAATTACGTTCAATCTTACCTCGATTTTGATCACGGATCTCTCTGCCTCTTAAAGGAACACTAAATAGTGTTGTATTACTTGTATATGTAAAGTAAAGTAAAGTAAAGTAAAGTAAAGAACTTTTATTGTCATTGTAGTTGTACAAAGAAATTTGTTTGGTAACTCACAGAGATCAGCAGCAACATAAAAAGAGAGAAAACAAACAATAGACATAAAACTAAAATATAAGAGGCAAGATAAAGTATACTAAATGTAATAAGTCACATAAAAAACAACAATATACATAATACTAAAATATATAAGATGTAAGATAAAATATATTAAATGTAATAGTCACAGTATTTACATCATGGCAAATGAGTGCAAACATGAATATCCATAAAGTGTCTTTGTGCATTAGCAGCAGAACATCAGAAAGGTAGGGAGTAAGGGAGGGGGGTGATTGTTAATGTGTACAAAGAGGAGGGGTGGCACAGGCTACAGCTCTGAGGAAGAAGCTGCTCTTTAGCCTGTTTGTGCGAGTCTTAATTGCCTTATATCTTTTCCCTGATAGGAGTAGTGCAAAAAGTTTGTTTCCTGGATGAGTAGGGTCCTTAATGATGTTGCTAGCTCTCCTCTGTAGGCGGCTAGCGTAGACTGTATTGAGATTTGGGAGTTTAGTTCCTATGATCCTCTGTGCAGTCTTAACAGTCCGGGATAGAGCTCTCCGGTTTTCCGCAGTGCAGCTTGTGTACCACACTGTGATGCAGTGACAGAGGATGCTCTCTATCGTGCTCCTGTAGAAATTTAGTAAGAGCTGGGTCGGTACTTTTGTTTTCTTGAGTTTTCTTAAGAAGAAAAGTCTCTGTTGAGCTTTCTTCACTAAGTGGGTGGTGTTAATGGTCCATGTGAGATCTTTTGTCAGATGTAGGCCTAGGAATTTGATGTTGTTTACCCTCTCAACTTCCTCGCCATTTATGTGGAGGGGGGTTGGTGGTGTCCTTTTTGCTCTTCTGTAGTCTACAACGATCTCTTTTGTTTTGTAGGTGTTCAGAACCAAATCGTTATTGATACACCAGTTGATTAGGTGTTGGACGTCCTCTCTGTAGTGAGACTCGTTGTTACCTGAGATTTGTCCTATTATTGTGGTGTCGTCAGCAAACTTCACTATAGTGTTGGAAGGGTGAATGGGTTTGCAGTCATGTGTGAATAGGGTGAAAAGTACTGGGCTGAGGACACAGCCCTGCGGTGCTCCTGTATTAATGGTGATGGTGGATGAGATGTGGTTGCCCACTCTTACATTCTGTGGTCTGTTAGTGAGAAAATCCAAAATCCAAGAACAGAGTGAAGGGGTTAATCCTACATTTTTCAGCTTGTTTACCAGTTTGTATGGTACAATGGTATTAAATGCAGAGCTGAAATCTACGAATAACATCCTAACATATGTATTGTGATGCTCCAGATGAGAAAGGCTGGTGTGAAGTGTAATTGAGATTGCATCCTCTGTTGATCTGTTCCTGCAGTAAGCAAACTGTAGGCTGTCCAGGTCAGTAGGGATGTTTGTTTTGATGTGTGAAAGAATAAGTCTCTCAAAACACTTCATTATAATGGGTGTCAGAGCAACTGGGCGATAGTCGTTCAGACATTTCATTGATTGCTTTTTGGGCACTGGAACAATGGTTGTTGATTTGAGGCACATAGGGACTACGGCCTGCTTTAAAGACAGATTGAAGATGTTGGTGAACACCCCCGCCAATTGGTCAGCACAAGACTTAAGTGCGCGACCTGAAACCTTGTCTGGTCCAGCTGCTTTGTTGACATTGATCCTCCTTAGAGTGGATCTCACCTGGTGACACTCGAAGACGGGTATCGTCTCTTCTGTGGGTGATGGTGCTGTCTGGATTTCCATTCTGTTGGAGTCATTGTCAAAGCGTGCGAAAAACTCATTCAGGGTGTCAGGAAGCGAGGCATAATTAAGTAAAAAAAAAATAATAAGTTTAAATAGGATTTCAGTAGTCTGGCTTGTTTCTCAAGCCAGCCTAATAATAACACTAATGATACAGCGTATAAAAAGGATATTGTTTGATAACGTTGCTCAGTAACTTTAAACTGCGTTTGAAGTTTATCGCTTTGAATTTGCCATAAAAATGCTCATTTAGACTAACGTTAAACATGTGACATTACCTCGAGGTTATGCCGAGTTCAGACTGCATGATTTTCAAAGTAGTCGTGTCACAGATGTTTTTACACTGCATGACTATCTGGGCTAGCGTTCCGTCGGTGCTGTGTTTACACTGCAAGATGGATCGGTGACAGAGGATTTCACACTGCATGACTTTAAAAGGAGCATCGCCGACAACTTTGTCTCGGTGCGGAAATACAACCAAACACACGCGAGAAGTGACACGTAAACAACGCAAGGTCACGCGTGCAACACTGGAGTTGTCACGTGAGAGTGGATTAGTTGTTTAAAAAAAAATGGTAGCCCGCAAGAAACTTGCCATGCAAATTGCAGTTGCACTCATTTGCAGCGAAAAGAAGAAGCAAGATAAGGCAGACGCGAGGAGTAAGGATTATGTGTTCTGCAAAGAGAGTTGGAGGTAAATCATTTTGCAATGTTCTGCTGATGCGACTGGTCATTCAAATGTTTGTACTTCGTTCCTGTTTTATATAATTGGGAAGTTTGTTTTTTATTTTTTCCTGATTAAAATTGTGCTTGCCATACAAATAGATGGATGATCAAACTGGGTTCAGGAAGCTGCTGCGGATGACGGCAGAGGAGTTCGAAATCCTACTTGGGATGGTCGGACCTCTCATAACCAAGCAGCACACGCAAATGAGACGATCAATCTCTCCAAGAGAGCGCCTAGCTGTGACCATGCGGTTTTTGCCGACAGGTGGGTTTGCCAGAGCAATAATTAATTCAGAAGTTGTATTTGTTTTTGTATAAATTGCTTTATATTCTGTAAAGTACTTGTGCAGGTGAAACGTTCACTTCCCTCAGTTTCCAGTATAGGGTTGGGGTCAGCACTATTTCTGGGATCGTTATGGAAACCTGGGCTGCTCTCTACAAGGTCATGAAAAAAGACTTCCTCAAGGTACTCTCTGATTTAATGAAATACTGTACTAAAAGGACACATTTTGTACATTAGTAATTAACTTCATACAATTATCAAAACAATAATACAATTAGCTAAAAACTATACCTCTATTAAATTTAAATGCAACACAAATAAATGAATTATACATGACCTTGTCCATGAAATCCTGACCACAATCTCTTATAATGTAAAGCTTTTCAATCATTAAATGTCTCTTTGATTTTAATCTTTGAATCAGTAAAACAATAAATTCACAGAAAGTTCTTCTGTGTAATATTATTTTACATAGAAAACAGTAAATCTGCAATAAAAATGATATGTTTCCCAGGTTTTCACAGGCAGGTTTACATATAGGGCCACACGGAATCTGCACGCGCTAAAGTCTGCATATTTTTAGCCCATAATTCAGTCTATGTATTTACTTGTGTAAATGGTTGTAAATAAATATTTATTTAGTTTTAATGTGTTTTATGTGATAATTAGTTTAATTTAATTTTTTTCACTAATATTATTGTGATATAATAATTGTAAGATTAAAATTTCCATATTATTTATTTACAATAGTTTTTAAAGTAATGTTTTCTGCCTTTCAGTAGGTATATTATATGAGAGACTTACTTTGTTTAACAAATAAGTGGATCTAATTGGATTTGCATTGTAAACATTAAATAAAAGATAAAAAAATATTTTTTTTAATTTCATTTATTAAGATTATAGTTATTACACTCCTATAATCATTCCGCATGTATCCGCAGTTTATTTTTATTTTTTTATTTTTTACACAATTCTCCACAGGAATAACAAAAAATGTCAGCTGATTCTGTCTGGCCTATTACTCATAACTACAGTTATTTTACTTTGTAAAGGATCTTAATGCGTCTAGTATACAAAACAAGAGCATGCTATAAAAATAAGCAATATAGCTAGATCCTCTCACATTATTTGTCTTTTGAAAGCTCACTGTTTTTTGTATTTAAATGTATTAATTTCTGTAGTCAGTTAAGCCTTAAATAAGGAGTTCATATTTAGAGTGTTTTATTTTTACCCTGCGTGTAAAAATAAAATTGTTCTGTTCTAACTGTTCTTTTGCTAGACACCATCAACAGAAGCAGAATGGAGGGAAATAGCCCATGAGTTTCAATCTAAATGGCAATTCCCACATTGCCTAGGTGCACTTGATGGAAAACACATCCGTATACAGCCTCCTGCAAAAAGTGGCAGCCTCTACCATAATTACAAATCCAGCTTCTCTGTGATAATGATGGCTGTTGTGGATGCCAATTACAAGTTCATATATGCCAGTGTGGGTACCCAAGGTAGAGTTTCTGATGCTGGACTATTCGCTCAGTCAGACTTGCGCCAAGCAATGGATCAGGGCCAGCTGAACTTTCCTCCACCCGAACCATTGCCCAGCAGTGACATAATAATGCCATACATGTTTGTGGGTGATGAGGCATATCCTTTAAGGCCTGATCTTATGAAGCCGTATCCTTACAGACAAATGGACCACAGTCAACGAATCCTGAACTATCGCCTGTCAAGAGCACGACGAGTGGTAGAAAATGCATTCGGCATTCTTGCCAACAGGCTACGAGTTTTTAGGAGCACCATATGCTTGGAGCCAGACAAGGTAGTTAAAATAACTATGGCCTCCCTATGCATCCATAACTTCCTCCGTGAGCGGAGATCTGAGGCCTACACACCTCCAGCCTTTGCAGACTGGGAGAACAATGACCACAGCATAGTTGAAGGAAACTGGAGGATTCAAGGAACAGGGTCATTCCAATCAGTGGATCATAGAGGGCAACGCAATGCATCTGTTGTGGCAAAAATGCAACGAAACCTTCTATGTGACTACTTCGTCTCACCGGCAGGTTGTGTTCCTTGGCAGGAGAAACACATTTAATATTGATTCTTCTGTCCGATTTATTTTTAAGAAAAGTGCCTTTCATAAAAAAGGTGCTTCTGGCCGCCGCCGCCTGAGCTTCCCGATTGGTCGCCGCCGCCGCCGCCTGAGCTTCCCGAGTGGTCGCCGCCGCCGTCTGAGATTCCCGAGTCGTCGCCGCCGCCGCCTGAGCTTCCCAAGTGTCCGCCACTGCTTGAGCTACCCAAACGGTCACGACTCCTCGCCCAGCTGGCGCCATCCAGACAGCTCACCCAGCCGGCGTCATCCAGACTCCTCGCCCTGCCGGCTCCCTTCAAGCCTCCAACCCTGCCGGCTCCTCGCAGTACTCCAGGTCCTTCGCTGCCACACGATCCAGGACCACTGAAGCTCCACTCTCCGGGTCTTCCGCAGCTCCAGTCTCCAGGCCCTCCGCAGCTCCACGCCCCAGGTACGCCCCAGCTGCATGGTCCTGGCCCTCCATCCCTCCCCCTGTTCCGCCTCCGCTCCGCCTCCCACCTGAACAGTAGTGGAGTGTCTGGAATCCACTCCTAGAGGGGGGGCTATGTCACAACCAGCGATCGCTCCCCAGAGGATCGCTGGTTCTCACACGAACTCAGGACTTCATTTCCGCATTCCTCAGGACTACACATTTATACATGCACTGCTCCCAAACACGCACGCCTGCTCACTCATGTATCCTGATTGCAAGCACCAGCTGAGCCTTGTTCACAGACTGATTTCATTCATTCATAAGCCACTCTCTCACGCCACCAGTTGGCCGAGTCTTGTTTCCCTGTGTACATTACAACACGTTTCCCTGTCTTGTTTCTCTGTGTTTAGACCCTAGCCTCGTATCCCAGTTATCCTGTTTAGCCGCCTGCCTTTTGACCATTTGCCTGTTTAAACGTTTACGATTCTGGACTGCCTTTATATACCTGTTTGCACCTGATGACCATTGCTTGCCTGACATTTGAATAAACTGCATATTGGATCTTACCTCCTGTGGTCTCCTGTCCCTCCACCCTAGTCGTGGTAACAATATTATATCTACAGACCATAAAACCTGTGTATATGTAATGGATGTCCTTCTGCGTTGTGTTTGATGGTTTAAATGAAAGGATCCATACAGCAATGTGATCGAACCAGAGTTTATTCTTGTCTCTCTGTCTGTATCATAAAGAATATAACAGACATCAGTCCAACAAATCTTCACAACACGGCAATGTCTGTCTGTCTGTTGGATGCCATCTCACAAAGTGAGTGCATGAGCACAATAACCATGTTAAAAATAAACAAAAACAATACATAAAATACATCAGATTGTGATTTGTAACATACGTGTATCATAAAGAATATAACAGACATCAGTCCAACAAATCTTCACAACACGGCAATGTCTGTCTGTTGATCAGTACAAAATTTTTAAACTCATTTGTTCTCATTTTCATAGGAAAATGCAGATATGCTACACAAACCCTTTCAGAAATAAATGTAAAGTGTCAACCCGATTAAATTTAAAGCCCTAATTCACCTTTTACATATATAATTTATATGTAATGAAAGAAAAAGAAAAAAAATCATAAACATACACAGAATTTAATTTGGACTAGCCATTGTGCTCATTAAACTTAACTTATATAAAACGCTTCACACTCAAATATGATCCAAATCTGTTTCCCTCACAATAATGATACAATAGTTAACCTTACAGAAGATACTGAATAATCTAAACATCCATATTAATGTAACAATATAGGCATTTATAAGAGGAGCCGAAAAACGCACCTGTCTGTTGGATGCCATCTCACAAAGTGAGCGCGCACCGGAAACTACGTCAGCTATAATCTCGCGCCTACGCGGTCATACTCGCTTATAAATACCTATATTATTTTTCACATGGATGTAAAGAGAATACTATAGAAACTTTAAACAGTGAAATAAGAAGAACGCAAAATATTGAAGTAAAAGGAAAGTAATTAATTGTTTGTCATGTCTATTTCCTTTAAACCGCCTTTCAAAATAAAATACCCTTCTGATAATAAAAAAAAGGAACCAATAATCTAGTGCAACAACACACACACGCCACATCCACCCCCACTGTTCTGCACTAGATTATTGCACAGCATATAGACACTTAATGTTCAAGAATAGTGTTAACATGTCACACAACCAAATAAAGGTAATTCAGCTATAAAGCTATCTCGTTAGAGATTCAGATAACTCAAGGGTAGCTAATCCTCAGTCTATCGTCTGAAAAATCATGCCATATACACGATTTTAATCATGACACACTACTAGATGGTCACTATAACATTTTCCTTAATAAACAACTTTATCTAGGACCACCAGAAACACGTCCATCCCTCCAAATTGACGGGTATGCAATCTATCAAACAAAAAGAAATCAACAATGAAAACTTTGGAAATAGAAATTCACACATCAATAACAGGGCAAACTCTTTGTGTGGACATTGTATGTAAAAGTCTGCTAACAGGTTTAATAAGCCTACCAAACCTGGTGCGTGTACCTTGTTGCACACTGGCCTGTCCTGCTAAAGAACAAAAATCTGCCGTATGGTGAGGTGAACCCACTAGAACCTCCTCCCCTACTGTCACAGCTTCACAATTATCATTAACAGTGGGTATGGCACTGCGAGAAATCGGAGCAACATTTTGAGGCTCAGCTACACAGGAGTGTTCACTTCTAATGTCCGGAGGTCTGAAAGAACAGTCAGACACTACTTCAGAAAAGCTCAGACATTCCAACCCCTCAACATGTTCAGCTTGTGTCCCCATGTCATGATCACAGATGCCAAGGTACCGATTGTCAATTGCATCATTTGTCAACTCATCATCACTCGACATTACAACCTCATCCATGCTAGCAATCCATTGGGACGTTCTGTCAGCAATTTCACATCCTTGAACATCAGACTGTGATGAAACAGAATGTGAACTAAAATTACCTTCTGGAGATGCAGAATCACCCCAAGCAGGTAGAGGCAAAAAAATTACCGGCATCAATAGGTTCCTATGTACAATTTTGACACGGCCAGTAACTGGATGACGGATCCCATAAGTGTTCAAAGAACAATTTTTGCTTCCTACGATGTACACTGTACTTTCCCAATGGTCCGCTAATTTCCGTTTCCCTCTCTCTCCCTTGTTCGCCAGAAGAACTCTATCGCCAGGCTGTAAAGAATGACCCTTGCATCTCAGATTATAATGCTCAGCCTGTTTGCCTTGCTGTTGACGTGCATTTTGTTGTGCAAGCGACATTGCCTCCCTCAGATCTCGTCCCAGAGACTGGACATATTTACTCACATCAACAGCACCCCCATCCAAAAGAACACTCTCAAACAGAACGTCCACTGGCAACCTCGGCGTGCGCCCAAACATCAAAAAGAAAGGCGGGTAGCCAGTTGTCTCATGCCTCGTGCAATTGTATGAAAATGTCAGAGAATTCAGCAATTGCGGCCATTTTGCTTTTGACCTCGGGGGTAGAGATCTTATCATCATCCCAAGAGTACGGTTAAACCTTTCAGCCTGACCGTTACCCATGGGATGATATGGTGTCGTGTGCGATTTCTCCACGCCCGATAGTTTCAGCATTTCTGAAATTAGGGAACTCTCAAAATTTGCACCCCTATCAGAGTGGATCCTCGCTGGGAAACCATATACACAGAAAAAATTATTCCAAAGAACACGAGCAACGGTCTTGGCGATTTGGTTTGGACAGACATACGCGCAAGAAAGCTTCGTAAAGTGGTCAGTCACTACCAACACATTGACTGATTTGTTATTGACATCCTCGGCTGACCAGAAATCAATACAAACCAGCTCAAGTGGCGCTGTCGTTGTTATTGATACAAGTGGCGCTCTGGCCTCCGGCTCAGGTGTTTTACTCAGTATACATCTTTTACATTGTGCGACATACATCTTCACATCTTTCTCCATTGAGTTCCAGTAAAATCGCTGCCTCGCTAGCCAAAGAGTACGGTGTTGACCCTGGTGCCCAGCGTCGTCGTGGACCCCATTCAACACCAGTCCCCTTAAGACTGCTGGTACAACATATTGGTACGTCCTTGTTCTGGTTGTCGGATTCTTACACACACGATACAGTATGCCTAGCTTAGTTGTAAATTTGGCCCACTGCCTGAGTGTTTGCAGAGTTTCCCTCGACTCACTACCTCGTTCTTTCCTAGAAGGCTGTTTGCCACGTTCAACGAAAAACCTTACTCTACTTATCACTGGGTCTTGACATTGTTTATCAAGCAGATCAGCGTGAGTAAGTTTAGCAAGAGGGCTCTGTGTAGCATTTTCTAAGCACCTTAACTGCTGTACATAGGTGACTGCCCTAACAGCTGCACCTTCCTCCCAGTGACTATGCGAACCCAAAATAGCTGACACCTCCCCACAGGACACTTTGCCTCCTACCACACTTTGTACCAGGTTAGTCACTTCATGATGTTGCTGCGACTCAGACAATTGCTCACAAATCTTTCCCTTTGTCATTTCACAGGACAAATGAAACGTATCTTGCACCTGCCCTACTTCAAGTGTCTCTGCTTCATGCTTCAAAACATCATACGGTGTCCTGGTAAGTCTGTGCAAAATCCTAGGTACAGCAAAAGGCTCTCGACTCAAGGCATCAGCCACCACATTTTTCGTTCCAGGTATGTATTGTATGTCGAATTCAAAAGGAGCCAACTTCGCAATCCATCTCTGCTCACAGGCATCAAGCTTCGGTTTGGTCAAAATATACTTAAGCGGATTATTGTCCGTCCATACTGTAAATTTGTGTCCACGGAGCCAATGACTGAATTTATCGTAAATGGCCCATTTCATTGCCAAAAACTCTAACCTATGAGCAGGGTACTTGGATTGCGCATGATTGAGTGCCTTCGAAGCAAAAACGATTGGCCTTGCAACAGTATGCCCCTCCTGAACTTGGGAGAGCACTGCTCCAAGTCCCCTCGTCGATGCATCAACAGAAAGTATAAACGGTTTTGAGAAGTCAGGATGAGCCAGCAAAACCTGTTTAACCAAGGAATCCTTTAGCTCTTCAACCGCTTCTCTGCATTCATCTGTCCAGTCATCAGAGGTGAGTTTTCGAACTGTAACTAACTTTCTACCTGTTCCTTTCCCCTTCCTAGGTTTCTTCTGACCCGTTAACAACTGGAAAAGAGGCTTTGCGATCACAGAGCAGTTCTCAATGAAATGTTGATAATATATAACCATTCCCAAGAATGACCTAATTTTACTCACAGAAGGCGTAATACCATCAACCTCCATTAAGTCCTTCTCTGCCACATTCACAATAGCCTCTACCTTGATCGGATCACTTGCCACTCCAGCCTGTGAAACAATGTGGCCTAAAAATTTTACTGACCTACGCAGGAAACTACACTTGGACGGCGAAAGCTTTAGATTATGGTCCCTGAGACGCTGAAACACCATTTCTAGTCTCTGCAAACTTTCTTCCTCAGTCTTACCGAAAACCAACAAGTCATCTAGATAGCATAGCAGACTCATGAAATTTTGGTCACCGAAAATAGTAAGCATCATTCTCATGAAGGTTGCCGGGCTGTTGCAAAGGCCTTGCGGTAATCGATTATATTCGTGCAGTCCAAGGGGAGAACAAAAAGCTGTAAACTTTTTATCGTCCTCATGTAAAGGAATGTTATAGTACCCAGATGTTAAGTCCATGGTACTAAACAGCGCATTCCCCC